AAAGCCGGACCAGATTGCCATTCACGAATGGCCGCCTGCAAGTACGACGACCTCAAGCCCGGCGAGACCATCTTGACCAACGACGGCTCGTGCGCAACTGCTTGCGTACTTGGCCGCAACTGCTCGGTCGTCGAGACCCTCCCGGCGAATGCGACCCGCTTTGATTTTGCCGCTGGCTACCTCCTCGGCGACCTCTCGCACCACGCGCCGGCCAATCTGTTCGCCCGATGAGCTTTTCCTGTCGAGCTCACGCTCTGTATACTAGCACCATGGTCAACGTCCAAGACCGTCATTTGACGCACAAGTACCGGCAGCTGCCGGCCAGTCTTCGCTCGCTGTCCGCCTTGGCATACACATTGGGATTTCTTCATGGACGATGATGCGTAGAAGGCTCGACAGCTATACCTTGGACACCTTGTACAACGTCCCTGTTCCCAGAGGCCTCGAATATTGGTCTCTCTTGGCATCTGCACATGTTGAGAATCGACTCGGATGTATTACTCTCTGTAGGACGCTCTCCAACTCGACCAAATCAGTGAGCGTCTATGCGTCTCGCTTGCACCGCCTCCGCGAATTGTACGTTCCAAATTTGATGTACAATAACGTCTAACCGTACAGCTAGGGTCATTGCCAACAGCAGCGTCTGGCTAGAGAGTGAACTCCCGCCCACGTTAACCTATCTGTATGACGACTGGACCAGGTCCAGCCGACGGGCTCATGCGCATGGTAGGCACTTGGACCCGGTCAACGACCTTAATCTCTACAAGTTGGCACTTCACGAATTCTGGACCAGGTCCAGCCGACGGGCTCATGCGCATGGTAGGCACTTGGACCCGGTCAACGACCTTAATCTCTACAAGCGCGACTTGTCGAGCCTCGATCGACTGTATTGGGACTTCTCCAGCGATGATGGGAGCTGAGTATCGTGTAGGGAGGTGTATAACGTCACCAGACTCGAAGAATGGCAGCTCTCGGACCGCCTGCAACACTTGTACGACATCTCGAGTCCTCTCTTGTAGTGATGAATTCAGCTAGTGTGTGTCCCAACTGCAACATCACGACAGCAACTCTTGACACCAAGTCGTTTCGTGCGCTCCAGCGCCTCGAACCGACAACGAGCTTTCACGTCCGAAGGCTTGAGGCTGGGTACTGCATGGGCGAGAAGCTACGCGTGATGCCCCTCTGGGACGCCTACCCCCAGTACACGGTGTGCATCATCTCCGACGAGACTTCGTATCTCAGTCGTCTCAACCTTTGGGGTACGTTTGGCATATGCTGACTCGTCAACGTCACAGCCAAACTACGTAGAGCTTATCTCGTATGCCCTTATTGCGGGCTCGCTGCTCACGATTGCTGGTATCATCTCCTGTCTCTACTACACAAGCAAGTCGTGTGCTACATCCCGCCGATCGGCCGACGACGACTACCTCGCGTTGACACTTGGAACCAACGAATT